TTTACGTGGAAGGGGGCAATGCCTTAGCTTTGGACGACGCATGCAAACACTTAATCAACGCGATCACGGGAGTACGGCGAGATACGGGAGTGGTGGTGGAGGAAATTTTGATTATGGGAGACTTCAACCGGCATGACCAACTCTGAGGAGGAGACCACATGTCTTTGGGAAGACAAGGCGAAGCGGATCCAATCATCGATCTCATGAACGAATATGCTCTCAGCAGTCTCCTCAAGCGAGGCACAAAGACATGGCATGGCGGAGGATACAGCGGGGACTGCGAGTCGACGATCGACCTGGTCCTGGCCTCGGACAACATGACAGACTCCGTGATTAAGTGTGCTATACTCGGGACGGAGCACGGCTCGGATCACTGCGCTATTGAGACCGTGTTTGATGCGCCCTGGTCGCTCCTAAAGCACCAGGGACGACTCCTGCTGAGAAACGCTCCATGGAAAGAGATTAACACCAGGATAGCGAACACTCTTGCCGCCACTCCTGCGGAGGGCACAGTGCAGCAGAAAACCGACCGACTCATGTCGGCGGTCTCGGAAGCGGTGCAGGCGCTAACACCAAAGTCGAAACCATCACCACACGCGAAGCGGTGGTGGACCGCTGATTTGACACAGCTCCGTCACATACACACATACTGGAGAAATCACGCCCGCTCCGAGCGACGGGCGGGACGAAAAGCACCCTACCTGGAGACGATGGCCCGATGCGCCGCAAAACAATACCACGATGCCATCCGGCAACAAGAGAAAAAGCACTGGAATCAATTTCTTGCCGACAATGATAACATATGGAAAGCCGCTAGATACCTGAAGTCGGGAGAAGAGGCAGCGTTCGGGAAGATCCCGCAGCTCCTCAGAGCGGATGGGACCATGACCACTGATCATACGGAGCAGGCAGAAGAATTGCTCGCCAAATTCTTCCCGCCCCTGCCGGACAACATTGACAATGAAGGGACTAGACCACAAAGAGCGCCAGTCGAGATGCCTGCCATCACGATGGAGGAGATCGAACGACAGCTGATGGCGGCAAAGTCTTGGAAGGCACCTGGCGAAGACGGTCTGCCAGCAATAGTCTGGAAGATGACCATATCAAGATTCTTTGGGTCCCTGCCAGCGAAGACAACAAACTGCTGGGCCTAGCTAAGGAGCAGGCCAGGGCCGCGACCCACGAGGACGCTATCCCACAAGCACAGGGTTGTAGGAAGACACGCCAAACGAGTGGATGCAGCACTCCCAGGAAAGCACACGCGACAGCTGTATGACGGATTGTTGTGGAAAGAAGCGACCGTGCTGGCTCAACTCCGGACCGGCATGGCAAGATTAAATGGGTATCTCTACCGGATCAATGTCGCGCAGACAGACCAGTGTGCATGCGGACAAGCAAAAGAAACCGTGGAGCATTTCCTCTTCCGGTGTCGGAAGTGGACTACGCAACGGATCGCACTGCTACAATGTACTCGAACTCAGCGGGGCAATCTCTCCCTCTATCTGGGCGGGAAATCGCCTTCCGATGATCAGCAGTGGACGCCGAACTTGGAGGCAGTACGAGCCTCAATACGATTTGCCATCGCCACGGGCCGACTCGACGCCACCTAACTATGTCAACCAAGACAATGACACCCTTCCCCTAACTAACCCACACCAACCACCTTGTGCCACAGATGGTAGACGCGCTTCAACTGCCGAGGATAGGATGTTGAACACTTGAAGAAGCGCCTTCAAGCCAGTCTACTAACAAATATACTAACCCACAGGGATTCCTACGATAGTGACAGCTGAGAGGACATATACTGAAAGGATCTATGTATGGGCCCGAAGGAGATACCGCAGATGTACATTAGAACCGGTGTTGATAGATCAGTGATAGTTGCCCTTTCGGCTGAGACGCCGGGCGTAATGTATATTGTGTGTGTGTGTGTGTGTGTGTGTGTGTGTGTGTGTGTGAGATACAGCGGCGGGTGGTTGCACTGCGCTTTGTGCTGTTACTCATGACTCTTCAGTAACCTGCAAACGACTTTCCGGTTCTTGGTGTGTGTGTTTCTATAAACACTTTTCTTGTGCTGGCAATACGTACCTTGTTACAGCACTTTGTCGGCTCCCATGTAAACGCACAAGCACTGGCAACTCAAAATATGATCTTATATGTCCTGAGATAACGGCTTTTAGCTCTCTCCTCTACTTGTACAGTCTGGTTGGCTTGACTGTGATCTTCTGACTTTGACGGTTCATGGACTAATGTGGGCCTGACATTCGATCCAGCCACGGTTCACGAGAGTGCACCATGGTTCAACTTTCAATGAGGCTGCATGCCATACACTGTATCTCTACCCCTAAAATCATTCCGTTAGTTGTGGTTTAGTTTTACCGTCCCAGGAATATTCCGCAAGGTTATCAGTTGTACACGTTCTTGGCTGACTGGGGCGGGTTTCGGTTTCATTTCGAGTCTTAGTTGACCAAGCCAATCTGCAATGGGGAAGTTATTATCCCCCGCCTGTTAGGGATCTAACAAGCATGAATTGATATAAATTCTTAAGAGCTTTAGAAAAGCTTTAATCAATCCTGTACTGGTAACATTAAGAGGATAATAGGATACCGAAAAAGTCACAAGTACACCGGACTAGTAGTTCTAGTTATTCATCTGTAGATAAGGCATTTCGCTTGCATGGATCCAGAGGAAATGTCTCTTACAGTGATTCCCTGGAGTCATCGTAGTTCCTTTTTTTTTTTTTTTTCTCTGGTTGTAGCGGGCTACTCGGATTGTTGCTCTTCGAAAGCTTCTGCAAACTAGTCTTACTATGAATAGTCAATTTTAGTCGCTCTTATACGCAGTATATCTCGCACGTGTAATGTCTGTGAACTGTGTAATATTTAGAAATAACAGCAATGAATTGTTACATGCTCAGTGCTAAGCTATCTTTCACGACTTGTATATGGAGGTGTGTAGCATGCGCTAGCAGGCTTAGCAGTATCCTTACCGACTCATACAATCCGATATATCATGATTACAAGTAAAAGCAATATAGAGCTATTCAAACCGACATTTTGTCTTATTTAGGTGTCATTCAATCCAATTTCTACGATCATTACTTGCCTGCCTACTTACTTATCGCGTCTCCGAGTGTTTCAACCTGCAGGATCAGTATCATCCGATTGGTGTTTACGTTCAAGCGCTTACCTTGCACTACCATGGTGTTCCCCTTAGCCAGGTGAAGCTATTACTGGAATGTCTCAAGCAATCCAGTGGTGGAGCAAGAAACAGAAGAATCTACCCGTATTCGTCGTGGTTGGAAAGGCAATAGTGACTTTATGGTCTGGGGTTGTTTCTCTTGCTATAAGAAAGGACCCTTGCATATTTGGAAGCCTGTAACAGCTAAGCGAAAGCAAGAAGCAACTGGAGAGATCAAGAAGTTGAATGAAGAGCCGGAGCCAATCAGAAAGCAAAACTGGGAGATTGCTACCTCTCTAGCTAGAATGAAGCTACGTGGTGGTCGTACACCTGGTCGAGAGCCTCACTGGTCATGGAATCGTGCAAGCAACCGTTTAGAGCGGGAGATTAAAGGAGGCATTGATTGGCATCGCTGTTATAAGGTTAGTTAATATTCTTTATCAATTTCTATACCAGAACTAACTAGATCCCTAAATTTATGAATTCCTTGTTCCAAAATTGGTTCCTTTTGCTAAAGAATGTAAACTCAACCGCCCAAATACAATCATTCTCGAAGATGAGCACCTGCTCACCGAAATCACTTTCCAAATACTGTATACAGTATACACGGCATTCAAAAGATCCTAGATTGGTCAGGTAATCTATCTGATCTAAACGCAATTGAGGCTGCCTGTCCCTGGGAGAAAAGATGTACAACCTCACGAGGCGCACTTCGAGATTAAAGGCCCGCTGAAGAGGCTTGGTACGAGGCATGGGAAGAGCTATCGCAGGAGAAGATTCAACATTGGATCCAACGTTTGATTAGACATATACAAGAGGTCATCCGCTTAGAGGGAGGAAACGGATCAAGGAAGGTCGTACAGGGGGTGATAATCGTGAGTGGAAAGGGGTCCGTGTCAAGGCGTATCTATCTCAGCGTGAGTATCTTGGTAAAGGACCTCTATTCTAGCTATCTGAATAGCTTCAAAATGGCTGTCTTAGGTAGTAAAAGCAGGCAGATAGGCAGGCAGTCATCATGTATAGAGTATTAAATTGTAGATCCCTGCCTTTCATGAATAAGTAACTATCATATAAATTACTATGTAAGAGGTCTTACATGTCGAAACCGCCATGCCTACTAGCGCATGCTAAAGCACACCTCCGTATGTCTTGGGAAAATAAGTGATGAGCGGAGGTACTCTGATTATTAAGAATGTGCTAACTACGTTAACTAACGTAACAATCGATCTTTACGATTAGTCACCTTGTTCAACCTAACAAATAATAATTTCAAAATAGGTCTTTTTCATGCGTACCAAAGTTGCAGAAATCGTCCAAGCAACTAGCTCCAATAAGGGGCGAACGGAAGAACTGCGACCAGAAGAACCGCAGCAATATCCAAGATATACTGTACTATTCCAAGCCGGGACAGATCCACAAGTGCGTCGGTTGCACGTTTCTTACATGCCGCACTTTGGCGCGGCGCCGGATGTTTTGGCCATCCAATTATAGCATGTTAGCCTTGCCCCACCGATATGGCCGCCAACGAATGTTATCAATGCTACCATATTAAGCTGCAGCTGTGCGGGGCCAGAGTCATCTTTTGGTTCCCCATGGACGTCATACGTGTCAACCCACGCGCCGATCTTGAGTCTCTAATAAATGGCAATTCCCGCACAACACACACCTGGAAAGGAATTTCTCAGAATTTCCACTAAGTCACGCAATGGTGGTAGAGCATAGTGAAGGATCACCGGCTATTGATACTTGCGCAGCCACGATCTATCCCAGATACGATAGCCTGAGTATTGTCGGGGCAGGCCGCATCATCCTTGTTGATAATGGCTTCGAATCCGGAATCAGAGTCTGCTTCCCCGTGTACTTCGTCTGCCTCGAAGGTTGCCATCCCGAGATTATCAATCCGTGAAGCTACCGCTAGGCCACGCACTAGAAAGGCATGTAAGGGATGCAGAGAACGCAAGGCTAAATGCGACGGTCACCAACCATGCAATCGATGCGCGGCTTGTTGAGTGGATTGCGCCTACGTTGACGGGAAGAAGGAGACTATAGAAAGGTGCGTTCGGAGTCATTGTGCAGTAAGAAATTGCAGTGACCGACAAATCCCAGGAAATATCAGAATCTCGAACGCCAGGTTCAGGTGTACGAGAAACTCCTGCGCCGAGTGCAGTTTCGAGCCACGCCAGAAGACGGAGATCTTATCGCTCGGACTCTTGCCCATGTAAGCCATCCTTGATTGGCAAGTCATACGCTCTGGCCTCTATTAACGTACGTTCAAGTACAGCCTGTCTGACATGAGCGACACTATCACAGATCATGCACACCCCCCAGCTACAGGAGATGATACCATTTATGCAATAGAGTGTGTACAGGAAGACTTACATAGTAGTAAGGCCTTGCAGCCTATTGGATTTATTGGCGGTCCTTCTGAGCTGTCCTGGATTCAGGATCTGAACCAGGAGGTCGAGAGATACACATTATGTTCGGAAGGAGAGACTCCGAATAGACTTCCAAGTAACGACTCAGAAGTTCTGAGTAGGGTGAGTTATTTCCTGGATGATCAGGACCTGGCCATGTATGGAAACATTGATTTTCAGATTCAGCCATCTCAAGATGTTGCAGAGCGACTGCTCAGCCTATATTTTCATACTGTGCATCCGTCGTTTCCCATTATCAGCAAACTATCCTTTACGCAACAGGTGGGCAGCTTTTACGCTAAGCCCGATTTACGTCCGCCGAAGAAATGGCTCGCGATTTTAAATTTGGTTTTTGCTACCGCCGCCAAGTTTGCACATTTGGTACCCGAACATTTGGTGCAATCTATGGATAGCCCTATGGTGTATTTCACCCGGGCTCGGCGGCTTAGCACCACAGAGAACCAATTGACTGAACATCCCAACCTCCAACAAGTGCAGATTGAAGGTCTCACTGCGTTTCTGTGCATGGCGTCAGGCCATATAAATAGGTGCGATGGCCGTTCCCTGTTCCTTTTCCTTTTCTCATTTTGCCTCTGTTCGTAAAGAAAAAGCCCCAGGTTCTCACCAAATTGCAGATCGTGGAGAGCATGCGGGATCGCAATAAGGTCTTCCATTGCTATGGGAATAAACCTTCGGAATCAGAGTAAGGAGATTTCCAATATTTCTAGGGAGATTCGGTACCGTGTTTGGTGGTCACTCTATACACTGGAGAACACCCTTTCTGTCATGACTGGCCGGCCTACTGGAACTTCAGATAGGTTCTGTACGACGCCTTTGCCGATACCTTTCCAAGAGGAGCAGTTTCATGTAAATCCTGCTGCCAGACTCTTGAAGGACTCAGAATTTCGAGCTGATTATATGCGGGACTTTACATCATTAAAGCGCACACTTGCGAACCGGCCTTCGAATACCGACCAAATTAGCGGCCAAATGCCTGCTTCAAAAGTTCAAGATATTGTGCCTAACACTTCTCAATATTTTCTCTATTATGTCGAGCTGACTAAGATCATGCGTCGAGCGATTGATTCCTTGTATAGTCCAGGATTCGCGAGACGTCCTTGGCTTACCATCTATGCAGCAATGATAGACCTGGTACATGAAACAGACGAATGGCTTTCTTGTTTAGCTGAAGAATTCAGCTTCAAGTGTCATCAAGGCTCAGGCCAATTTGAGAGGTTGAGGTGGAGCCTTGCCGTCAGATTTCATAGCGTGAGAATCACAATATGTCGACCCTCCCTTTGTCGATCGGGAAGGCACAGGCAAGGCACGGAGCCTCCCAAGGATCTCCAGCAAACCGCAGAGATATGCATTGATTCAGCATGCCGGATTCTGGACCTTCTGCCTGATAAGCCTGATAAGCCTGACAGAATCTGGTTGGCTCAGGTGTCTCCATGGTGGTGTGTCCTACACTACCTTGTGCAGTCAGCAACCATACTGCTGATAGAGCTGGACTATCGCGTCCGAACCGGTGCCGACCAGGCCGCTAATATCAACTCACGTATTGGAAAAGCATTAGACTGGCTTTCAGCTCTGGCGGTTGATGATCTCGCTGCGGAACGTGCTTTCAGGGTCTGCGATAATCTTCGCCGTCGGCTCTTTCTCCACTCTATCATCGAACCGGACAGAATTCCTAAGTTCACTGCGGAGCTCACGACGAATCTTTCCCCTGCCGCGGGAGTCTCAAGTTTAGTCTCTCAGGCTGAACACAGTCCCACCCCCGTCTCATCTGTGCCACACAGAACGGGAGAGTCGGCGTTTACGGACTCAGAAATGCGGAACGAGACAACGTTTCATCCAGCTTTCCAGACAGCATATGATGAATTTATGCCGTACAATTTGTACAGTGCACGGAAATCCTAATGTTAATTGTGCGCGTGTCACTCGTTTTGCGGCTCTTGAGCTGTAGTCTTATATATGCTGAGGAAGCGGTTCCATATGTGGATATCTTATTTCATCCAATCTCGTCGGAAACAATATTGAATCCAGCCCCGTACTTGCCAACAGGATGCTTGGCGTCATACGATGAACTTAGGTATATTCGTACAGAATCAGGCTACGTTGTTCCCCATCTTGTCTAGCCATTTGAAGTCGTTGCGGGCTGCTTCCGCCGACTCTACATTCTTGAAGCGGATCACATATTCCGTTTTGGTAGTGTCGACCTCGGCAACCTGGGCTTCCTGTGTCGACAGTGCGCTCAGCAGCGCCGTACGGATATGGGCGTTCGCAGACTCTCTTTAGAGGTATCGGCCAAAATGGTTCTCACTCTCATTGTCTCTCGGGTCGACAAAGGAGCGCTGGGTGCTAATTTGGACGCAATTCTGGTCCTTGTCTGTGCGTTGGTTGTTCGGTTGAAGATCCGGGTGGCCGCCACTGGCCGCTACCGGGGCCCAAGACCTTGGTCAGGGGCGTTGTTGATGGCGCTTCGATTTGCGCACATAAGGCTGGGAATTCTTCGTGGACTTCTCCTTCTGGGATTGTAGGATATTCTGATCGTGTTTGACCTCCTGCAGCTCCGCTTTGGTCGATTCGATGAGCATGGTTTGGTGGTAAATGATATCCTTGGTCGTTACCCGTCCGTTGTTGTCTCCAGCGTTGACGGTCCTATGAATCTCATCTTTCTGGCGAGTCTGTCTTTTCGTGCGAGATACAGTCAGCAGTCCCTGGTCCTCCAGTGCAGGGATCGCTGCCGATCCTCGCGTGTTTGTGGTAGGGGGTTCAGGAGCTTTTGCAGGCGGGTCCCCCATTGACCCGCGGTAAGCTTCCGCTCGGTACACAATCACACTTCAGCATCAATGTCAACACCACTTCCCAGATCTCTTTTCCACAATGTCTTCTCAGAGTCGCTTAGATCGACGCTCTGCCGCTCGACCCTGAATATACAGTGACGCGTTTGTATCCCTCGATCGACACACTTTTCTTCAGATAACGAGCCTCAGGCGCCCGCCCATGGAGCGCAATCTCTCAACGTGTAGTTGGCAAAGATGGAGTTGACGCTAAGAATTCACGGCTACTTTCCTAGCCCTGTAAGGCAATATTATGAGAGTTAACACATGGCGTTCGGCAGTTCGAAATTTAGAGTCTTGAATGTCCACCTGTTAATGTTCTCTAGCTCGCCGATTCGTTCTGGACCAATGTAGAAAGGTATGCTGTGGATGGCGGTGGCTTAGGTTAATCGCAATTTTCGAGATCCCTGAAAAAAGCTTCAGTTCCACTTTGTGTTGCTTCTGGAGGCGATTATGACCTGCAAGGGTTATGTAGTATTTTATTGCTGCGTAAGACTTTTTGCGTATCTCGTCGTATTGACCAAGGTCTCGAACAGCAGCAAGTTCTAATCAACCCGCGCACTAAAAATACTCGCAAGAATAATGAGATACGATTCTATGACGAATTATAATATCACTCCTTCTCGAAGGCGAAAAACCAACAAGTTGAAAAACTATTCTTCATGCAAGTGACCTCTAAAGCCCGTTAAGAGATAATCTAAGCAATAAGCGACATGACATTGATCACCGCGCATTCTTAGACCTTCTCTTCTTGTTTCCTTTCATGTAAGACTGTTTTCGGTTAGCGTAATGCTGCTGTTGTGGACATGCAATATCGGGCTCAATATTCTCAGGACCCAAGTATCCATCATTCCTATCCTCTGAAATTGACTGGGGAGCGGAAATTATCGACCGTCCACTAAGAGATTCATCTATTTCGCTTTTCAGTTCGGCATCTGTGTCGTTTGAGTTACCACAATGGGGGAAAATGTCCTGGTCGGCAAAATCGCTTTGCAACGGGGTGTGATCAGTTCGACCTTGGGATTTATCATTAAACCGGCGTACCGCATTCATTAGGTTCGTACTGACACCTCGACTACCAACAAATTGTCGACAAACGCTTAAGCCACTCCCAAGTATCTGCATTTTCTTGTTTAGTTGTTCTCTTAATGCACGGTTTTCTTCAGATTCGCCTGCGATGCGCGATACCAGCTCGGACGGCATTTCGTAAACTTTGATGGGTGTAAAAAGAGAATTAAGAGACTGGACCAATTCAACCTCCACAGCCTCAACCGCCACGTCGTCGATGAATCGCTTCAGTGCCACCTGTAGTAGTCAGCGTTGATAACGGCAAAAAGTGATATCATGCGCGTCTCATCGTACCTTGTGGTAGGCAAGCATGCAATCCAAAGCCTCTTCCGAAGCGAAACGCATCATATTTGGCTCAGTATACTCTAGGAGTGATTGGAGGAGATCCTGTAATCAGTATTCACTCCCGAGGTACTGCGGTGCTTGTAGGTCGTCGATACCAAAGAAATGTTGAACGATTCTCCTTAGCTCGCCTGCGCGCCTGTCAACGGCCACTCTGTATGTTGTCCGTGTAGTAGTGATTGTAGGTGACAGGATGCGCATTTTGGTGACCTGCAAGTAAGCTTTTGCATTTTGTCGTCAGAACCTCCTTGAGTCGAAGGGGTGCAGGGGAGATGACCTGATCGAAAAGAACGGCAGAAGTTGCCTCATCAGCTATGTAACCTATCACAAGCGACATGAATTTTTCGACCGCCAACCAAGCCGAGAAAATATGCTGATATGTTATTGTTTCCCAGGGGCGACATTGTTCCTGAAATAGGTCACTGACAATCATAGGATTGAATGTGCCGGGTAGTTCCCGTCCTCTTGTTCGTTTCATAAGATCCTGAATACGACCCATGAACTTGCCTCGCGTAACCAGGATTTGCCCACTCAGACCATCAACTTGATCAGTGTCTTCATCAATTTTGCGGTACAGTAGTTGCCTCGTCTACTAAGGCGCTCTGCAAAAGCTTCGTTCAGATTTTGGATGACAGCACGAATCCGCTTCTGATGACCCGTAGGAGATTGGATATCTTCAAAGAACATTTCATTGTATGTGCCATCGACGGCAGCCTTGACCAGAGATTGCAAGTGTTGACTAATGTTCAGAAGATAAGTCCTTTGCTCATCTAAAGTAGCTCTGGGCTCGCCAAGCTTATTCAATTGCTGTATACAATCCTCCTCCTTGTCTTCAATCTCTCCGATGAGATTTGGAAGCTCAGCCGCAATCTGTCGCAGAAGTAATCGGCTGAGACGATTACGCAGCGAGCCAGTCCCTACCAATGAGGATGGCATCTCTCCCCAGGCCCCCTTGGAGAAAAAGTCTTGCTCTTTCTGATCGCGATCGGAAAGGGTCCAAGTGCCCTGAGCAGTATCCATATCCCTGAGCGCATGCCATCCGAGCCGAAATCCAATGTCCCGATTTTTCGCTAATGATATAAAAATCCTCTCGCTTGCGGAATTTGCGACCAGCGTATTGGGCTTGGTGATGACGCCTAAAGGTTCGATTGCCCGACGGATCAGCATCCCTTGCCAACCGTAATACAATCTGATTCGCGTAGTCATTTTTTCGCCGAGACCACCGCCAGAATGATACTTCGCGGCTGTTTCATATATGACTGAACCACCTCCTGCACCAGCTGAACGTCCGGTGCGGATTGATGTTTGGTTTCGGAATGAACAAGGCCTGGCAAGTCAACGATGGTCAAATGCGGCCGGTCTGGCCCGGACACCTCAATCCGTAGAAGATCGTTTGAAATAGCTTTCCCATGCGTAGATATTCCCATTTCCGTTTTAGCATTATCAACCAGCTGAGGTAGCTCATCAAACCCGTCAAGCTCTTCGCGGAAGCTCCCCAGCGACCGCTGCTCTACTTCGCTGCGCGAGTGGTGTGGTACAATAGACACTCTTATTCCGACATTAGTGTCCTTCCAGAGATCCCGCCAGCGGGCGATCCCGAAATCACCCCAAGGACACCTGAAAACTCTGCAAGAGACGAGGGCGAGCAGACGCTGGCACCAGCCCATAGGGGCAGGACAAGGAGAACACAAAACATTACGATCCCACCCCTCGACTTCAACGCGCCAGATGATACCAGTAACCGCATCACCAACCAGATGGTCTGGGCGCTGATTCTCAGCCTGAAGAAAACCATCACACACCAAAACATTGCAATCGAGTCAGCCAGAGCGGAAATCCAAGAGATTAAAGCCGGACAGGAAGACCTACAGAAAGAAAACGCCAAAATACAGGAGGAGATACAGTCCCTCCGATCCCAGATCGAAACACAGACCCTACCCTCCCCTAAATCATGGGCCGCAGTCGCAGCAGCAGCGGCAGGGAACAGGCCCGAACAACCCCCGAACGCGATAATTCCGCGACCACGGAAAGAGCCAAACTGCGTCCGCATCAGCACCGCGGCCACGTTAGACGAAGACATCGATAACGAACGGTTTACAAGATTCCTACCTACCGAAGCAGCGAACACGCACATCAGAACAGCCCTGCTGAACGCAGAAACCACCAAAGAAGTGCAAGTAGCGGGAGTCGGTACAACTAAAACAGGCTATGTCATTCGATTCCAGGATGCCCAATCCGCCGAGACCGCCCGAAACAACACCGAGTGGCTCGATGAGCTGGGAAACGAGACCAAAGTAGTGAAACCCAGGTTCGGGATCGTGGTTCATCGAGTTCCGACGGAGGATTTCGAATTGGACGCGAACAAAAAACAGGGAATCGAGAAAATCGTGATGGAAAATGACCTCTGCGAGAAGGGATTCCAGGTCGAAGACATTGCATGGCTGAAGAAGAGAGACACGCCCATGGGCAAATCAGCCACGATGGGGATCTGGCTGGACTCACCGGAGGCAGCAGAATGGATCATCACCAATGGACTACTTGTCGGACAGAGGTACATCGGAAGTGTGGAACCCTATCGGGTAGAAAAGAAACGATGCCGGCGCTGCCAGGGACTCGGCCATCTGGCCTGGTCATGCAAGGAGCGAGTGAAGTGCGGGTACTGCACGGGCCCGCATGACCAACGCCATTGCTTCCCTGGGATCAGGCCCCGATGCTCAGACTGCAATGGAGAACACCCGACAGGTGACCGAACATGCCAGGCACCGCTGAATCCTCCGTCTTCCTCCCAATGACAGCAAATCTCCGAATCCTACAGTTGAATATGATGAGATCCCGGGCGGGAATGGAAGCCCTCATCAACGATCACCATAGCCAGAACCTCGATCTCCTTTTAATCCAAGAACCACCCACAACCGCCTACCACACCCATGTCAACCATAGTGCATGGCGACTCTATCGGCCAACACACGCCGAAGAACCAGGCCGAGTTCGCAGCCTCCTCTATGTAAACCGGAGGATCTCAACTGCACCACACCGCCAAATCCACTGCAACCACAGAGATGTAGTGGCCATCAAAATCTGAACACCAGAACTCCAATACCTGGTGTTCTCAATATATATCCCACCAATTGAGATGCACAGGGCGTTCGAAGCCAGCAGCGCCCATGAAACCCTGGCAGACATCGAACGGACTATTCAGGAACAAACAGAACCAGATAACCGGACGACCAACCTAATCCTCGCTGGGGATTTCAACCGCCACCACCCAGCATGGAGTCATCGCGCGGTTCACCACAGCTTCGCACAACATGCGGAGGAACTGATCAACTTCTTTCAAACCCACGAGCTACAGTGGTGCCTGGCCAAAGGCGAGACAACATACTGGTCCCTTAATCAACCTGGAAAGACATCAGTTCTCGACCTCACGCTTACCAACAATGTAACACGCTTGATCCGATGCCAACTCTACCACGACCACTATGGGTCAGACCACCGAGGAACATATTCAGAATGGAATCCCCAAGCGGAGCAAACTAGAAAGCCCAAACTGAAAAGGGCATATGACCGAGCAGACTGGGCCCGAATCGGTCAAGATATACTGAGACAGATTGACCCACATGTGAATATCCAGTCGGCCCTGGACCTAGACTACGCCGTCAATAATTGATCCAGAACACAGTAATTGCCCTAGACCGGCATGTGCCGGTGCAGGCCCCGTGCCCATACTGGAAGCGCTGGTTCACTGCAGATCTCAAGGCCCAGCAGATCGAGGTTAACCAGACCCGGCGACGGTGGCAGAACAGATGCGCCCTGCTAGGGCCTAACCACCCAACGACGAAGGTGCTTTTCGAAGAGATGCGGCAGAAAAGACGACAGTGGACCAGATCAATCGAAAAGGCAAAAAGTAGACACTGAAAGGAATTCCTTGACAAAGCCGGCGAAGGCCATCTGTGGAAAGCGGCTACTTACATGCGCCGCCGGGATGCCTACATGAGCATCCCCACCCTCAACGTAGGCACTGAAGAGGTGACAGATAACCAAGGGAAGGCAGAGGCATTCCTGCAAGCCTTCTTCCCAATGATGGCTGAACCCGAGCCAGAGGAACTGGTGAACCCCGCGGAGGAGCTACCATGGGAACCGATTACCGAACAAGAGATCTACCGGTCGCTCAGAGTGGCCAAGGGGACTACAGCCCCTGGTAGAGATGGGATCCCCACGCTTGTCTGGAAACCTTGTGGACCTACCTTAAAGATATTATCACCACGATCTTCACGAAATCAGTGGACCTGGGCCACCACCCCAGACAATGGAGGCAAGCGCGGATTATCGTGCTGCGGAAACCAGGCAAACCCGATTATTCAACCCCGGGGGCATACCGACCGATCTCACTGCTCAATACCCTGGGGAAGGTTCTGGAGGCAGTCATGGCCCGCAGACTGTCGTACTGGGCAGAGAAATATAGACTTCTTCCAGATACACAGTATGGAGGCAGGCCAGGACGGAATACAGAGCAAGCCCTGCTTGTCCTTGCCAATGCAATAGACCGAGCATGGGCACAGTCCAGAATAGTCACACTTATTGCGTTCGACCTGAAAGGCGCGTTCACCGGAGTGTACCAGTCTAGCCTGGACGTTCAACTACGGGCCAAAGGCATCCCGTCAAAGGCCCGACAATGGATCAGCAGCTTCATGGAGGACCGACAGGCTAGTATCACATTTGATGACTTTGAAACAGACGACCTTCCTCTAGGAAATGCAGGCCTGGCCCAAGGATCCCCACTCTCGCCGATCCTCTTTGGATTCTATAATTCAGATCTAGTTAATCAACCGGTCAACAGTAATGGTGGAGCATCAGCCTTCATCGATGACTACTTCCGCTGGCGGATCAGCTCGTCAGCGGAAGAGAATATCAAGAAAATCCAAGAAGAGGACATTCCGCGGATTGAAGAATGGGCGCGTCAAACAGGCGCGTCCTTTGCAGCTGAAAAACCCGAGCTGATTCACTTGACCCGACGCAAAACGGCACACAGAATCGGACAGATCCGGATGAACGGCCAGGTTATTAAACCAGCCGACACCGCCAAGCTTCTAGGAGTCATCTTCGACAAGGAGCTGCGGTGGAAAGAACACGTACAGAGAGCAGTTCAACGAGCAAGCAAGGTAAACATAGCCCTGAGTGGGCTACGGCACCTTCGGCCGGAACAGATGCGCCAGCTCTACCAGGCCTGCGTGATACCAGTGCTGGATTACGCATCCACAGTCTGGCATAAACCACTCCGAGACAAGATCCATCTGAGGCTTCTTGAGACAGTTCAACGGACCGGCCCTCGTCCGGATCCTGTCGGCCTTCCGGACAGTATCCACGTCAGCTCTCGAAGTCGAAGCCCACATGCTGCCTACCCACCTGCGACTCAACATGTCCCTTTGCCACCGCGGTGTGGCTGTTGGCACCGATCTGGACAGGGTGCGGCGTCTGAAGCCCTAACATGGTCCGCAGAGCCTGTAGCCGCTGATAATAGGGTGGGCTAGTTCCGCGCATGTCAGAATAAAAGACATGATTTGAGGTTGGAAAGATCAGTCCAAGTGTATGCTAAATCCAAAGACAAGACAGGAAGTCAAAATCGTGCTATAGACAAGATGTGGGCTAATATATCGAAGCAGGTGTGATCACCGAGCCTTTCAGGACGGTATCGCAGGCCGTGTGTTGCTCAGAGAATTAGATTTCATCATCACCGTAGAATGCAAGATCGAGGCATCTTCGAGTGGTCGAATCCAGAGGGTGTATCTTACGTTTCACGTAGGTGGGCAACTTGTACTTCACCGTGTGTGGAAACCCAGCTGGTGGTAGGTCTGTTTGTTTTTGGTGGTCTGCCCGTGTTTCTTGAAGCGACTGGATTTCCAGCGCCGTTGTTCTCGAGCAAATCACATCACTTTTCCAAAAGGGAGATGTATACATAGACTGACTCTTGTCAATGGGAAGATACGGAAGATCGCAGACCATTTATTTGCAAACAGCGCTCGGCTGGAGTCAGCTACTGTCTCTCTTGGATAACCCAATGCTTGTTGGGTAAGTTAGGTAGAACCCAATACAGCAATGATAACCACTGGCGTATGCTATCAGTGCAATAGCACACACAGGAAAGCATTTAAGGGCCGTCTGAGCCCCGCCCTTCACTTGCCAGCAGTTACTCTACGCTCACCGCCCTCGTGCCTATATTGTTGCATCATCAGTTGGGATTTTCAGCGATCGACGGTTTTACACCTGCTAGCGATTTGTCTCAACTCGTTTTGACAATGGGTGAGAACAATGCAACATGCGAGAAACCTCCAAGCAGTGTGCCCAAAGGAACCTGTTGTCAGACGGCTGTCAAAAGTCCACTTTCAATCGGCAGCCCCTCCTTCCTTCTGGATCCACATCAACTGGCAAGCACTCTTCAAGCCATGCGTGGTTCTATGGCCATGCTTCATGTAAGCGAAGGGGAATGCAAAAAACGTGCACATTTGCTTATGTTCGAGCCCCATGCTGCTTGCGGAAACATGGGTATGCACGAAAGACAACGTCCAGAACCGTCCACTAACAGCTGGAAGCAGGCTCCGAGAACTCACTTGCAGACTTCTACCCGAAGACACCACCCAACAGCCCACGTATGGCTGTTTCGGAAGCTGTCTCGATTGAGCATGTATCTATTTTAGAGAGCTGAATACTACCCGACGAACACCGTCAGCGACCCAGCTGCTACAGGGCGATGTGCGTTGCCTCACTTATTATAATATGTTGAGACATTTGAGTCACCCCTGCTGCTTGGTAGCCAGCGATATATCGTTTTGGTCTACTTGGCAGAAATCTGTTCTGACATAATATGTGGAACTTTCACCTGGGGGATTTGGGCGTCCTGGCGGGGAACGGTCCCTTTCTATCAGTGCCATTTGTGACCAACACGGACCATTCTTTTAGAAATTTTATAATAAGAATTCCAAGTATATGGCTGCAATAGATGAACCTCTTTAAAGAATACCGTGGTCTTGTGCGACTCCACTGGCCTGCTCCCGTGAGCCGGTAATACCATGTTTATCAAATACATCCTCAACGAAGATCTAATTTTACGACAAGGCATGATGAACAGTTGAATGAATAGATTAACCAAGAAGAAATTGTGCAACTCAGAGACTCGCGGGTCCACTATGATACTGGGGCATGAATGCCGGGAAGGTACATGCGATGGTTCCGATCTTCACTGGCTCGAGCTTCTCTTCCTTATCAGTCAAACAGGCCCTTTTGCGGCTTGCATAGTCCCCAGGACGACGCATCAGTTCGTTAACCGCCTGACTGATTTGGGGCTCAAATTCATGCTTCATAATTAGATTATTGGATTGCTTGACCTCCACGGCCACAAGAGCGTCGAAAATTTTGAGGCATGCGCAGAAGAACCAAGTCTTGTCTTCTTGGCACTTTGCTACCGCTATCCGTCTTCCAAGGCGCCTCGCAACAAATCTAAATCTCTTTCTCTGGTACTATAATCCGAAGCTGCACGCAGGCCGTCTCCAGGGGCCTGGTTCTCGCCCGAGCCAGCGCAATCTGATGGTCGATCAAACTCATCCCCTGTAGGTCATTTCTTGCAGGATATTCGGTTAGTCTCTCTCCTTGCGCGGAATGACGAGAGGGAGAACCGAAGAGATATAGAATCATGACAGTAGATGCTGGACGCTGCGTCAATCGCTGTTTCCATCGTCCTGTTTGCCGACAACGGGATGGTTCTGTCGAGAGTTCCACAACTGCTCATCTATACGAGGTGCGGAAGTGCCGCTCACGACCCAGCATCACCCTGTCCCCTGCCAACACAGAGACAATTCTCCGTGTCAAAAGTGCCTTATCCAGCTTTAGCGAGAGCAGATGTGCACTACGTACCCCACTCTGTACTATGGTTGTCAATCGGTAGACTTGTGTGCATCTCTGAAGATGATCCATTGCTATGGCAGAGCAACTACAACTGGAAAAGCTGCGCGAAGTTACCCGAGTCGGGTACCATATCATGATCATCGCAAAATGCACCCCCTTCATCCTCCTGAGTACGCCATATGTCCGGTACCGCTGTCGTTGCCGGTAGAGCAGTCGTTAAGGCGACCGGATCCACACGTCCTGGTAAACCAGCAGGGCTCCGAAGCCGCTGGTGCCAACCTGCAACGCTATGCTGCATTTCATCCACCAGTTTTTGAGTCACCTGCCGCTCAGAGAACTCTTGTCTGCACCGATGCTGGTTATTCAACAATCCCTGTATTGCACTTTCAGCGCTATCAAGGCGCTCTGGCAGGGTCTTCTTGTCCCACCGCAATGCTTCATTTTCCCGCTCCAGTGTTTCCACCGTAGCCAGGCAGGCCTCGTGGTTTTCCAATGAGCTGGCAGAAGGAACGTCTCGAGAACCAGAACCGGATATCTGTGATCGCTAATGGGTGAGTGAAGTCAGCTAAACAACAGGCCCCGGCAATCGTGCATGGAGGCTTACCATGTATGGACGTCTAGGGGAGCGCGGAGGCTGCTGGGGAGGCCGCGCGACGGGCTTCTCTGTTTGGATGGATCCTGTGTCGGAAACACCACTGTGACTCTCGGTCTTCCGGGTGGTTGCGCGAATCCTCGCCCGCGGCCTGGTTGTGACTTTTGGCATTCATGAAAGGTACCAGAGCTAACAGAAGAGTAGTGTGGAAGGAAGTTACAAGTGTGCCGTAGAGCGCCGTGCTGAAGGGAGAATTGGTCGGAGTCACAGCCAGCAAGAGACCTGGCTGGACAGGAATAAAGCGCGCCATTGGTGATGGTGGGGTCCCTCAGCAATCATGTTAGTCAAAGAAAGCTAGTGACAACTGTCGGTTGGCATTATCTGTCGACATGATCCTGTGTCACCATAATCGAACGAGTGACACTGATGGTTAAGATCTGCAACATTGTGTTTTGCAGCGGACCCAAGCACCATGGGGTATTTCCCCGGCCAGAGCGGTCAAATGTCTAGGTTAACCTTATTCGGCCTGATCTATATATCACAGCGTGTTTAGTCTGGTCTCTGAAACTGACCCACCTGGCCCGTGGTTCGAGGCTCTCTGCCCTCGTTGACATCATCGCATAAAGTGGTACTGTATTGGCATGTGAAACTTCGACAACCCTGGGCCGCAGGGAAAGTCCAGCGGTGAGTTACTTGGGTAAGTCAATGGGAATTGTTGCATGGATGGGGCGACGTTCGTTCACCAGGAAGCATCGCTAGGGCAAAAGATCCTCCACATCAAGTGGATCACGGTGTCCCTCCTCTTTCTTGTAACCTCGCAGTGCTGTACAACTTCCGCACACCGGGCCATACGCCTACCTCGACCTTTCACTTTTTGCCTGTCTTTACCAGCGCTGTTCTACAACTTAGACCACGTTTGTCATTTTTCTCTTGCTCCCCATGCCCAATAGACACTACCGGGCCTGGACTCCCGGCGAGGAACATGACTACCCATCATGGGTAGCTCGTCATCTCCATTTAACATGGCCGGAGAGGGCAAGAAAATATTCCATCGAACGCAAACCCAGAACGAGAGAGTCTTTGCGGACTAAATATCGACTTCTGGAGAAGGAGATCCGACGGCACCGCCCTCCAAATTGCAAACCCCCATCGGGGCTCAGACGTCGCATCCCCCAGAGACAGGATCATAGCCAGCGGAAGGCTTGGCCCAGTCCTATCTCGATCAGCACCCCCACCCCTTCCGAGCATCATTTAGACGACCCGAGCGCGGTAGCGATGCCGGCGATGAGGCAACGGACCCCTACACGCGTGGCCAGTCACCAGAACCAGAATCAGACCGTACCATCGACCCAGGCTCTAAAATTGACCTCCCAGTTCTCAGCCAAACGTGGGAGCCACATGCGTTTGATGAGTGGGCTTGTTAAAGGCTGGGGTAATTCCCCCGGTAAGAGCATGACCCCCGTGGCGTAATAGAAGCCCTCTGATATTCACAACCTTCTTAGGAGCAGGAAACGGAAGTGAACATAGAGCATCGCCTCGGGCATCAACCACATCTGACGACATCGATCGGCTGTGGCGATTGGCATACCGTATCTCCGGTCGCACGAGGCAGTAGGCACGAGCCGTGACGGAGACATGCTGGTAGTACTCTCCGCGAGGGTTCTCCAGGGTGGGACGACATACCGCCGCAGCTGCGCTTTTGCTCGTCCAACTCTTTATGCTGTGACCAATTGCCCCGTTTTCTACATCAGTAGCTGGTGTGAACTTCCCTCATGAAGCTGCCTGGTTGTGTTCAAGGCTAGCGCGTCATTCCCTTATATTTTTCTTGTGGAATAAGAAAAACTCACTTCTGTCCATTATTCTTTCATATGGTACGGGCTATACATATCACACTATTGACCCTACATCCATGAAGATGATGGCCACGCAGAACCATTTTCTCTGAGCGGCGTTAGCTCCGCTATCTATCGAGGTTTACCGAACATACAGATATCACTATACTCACGTGCTGAGCTCGTTCCTTTACGTACCACGCCAGGTGTGGAAACTTGAGGACGTAATATCCGTTAGGTGCGCGTGCGGATTCCTTGGGGGGAAGTCAAAGTTGAACGCCTGAACATAGTTCCGGGCCTTCCCGAGCACAACCTAATGTCACCAACAAGCGCGTGGCTCTCACGGTAGGGCAAACCGTCCCAACTCATCATACACCAGAACTCTTATTATAACATTCTGTTTACAGTACGTTATTTCAGCCATATCAAGTCTACAATGGTACGTTATAAACGTACATATTATAGTGATATCTAATAATGATTATCTTGAATGACTTCCCCGAATATTTACATCAAATAACGCAGCCGCTAGATCGATGACGTGTATTTCGATTGTGTTCTATAATAGTCAGTATATATACGACTAGTTTTGGAAAAACTTAGCGAGAATAACTGGCTGATTCCGAGCAGATGGGCTGGGAGGCCAAAGATCAGGCCCATACCGAGCAGCAATAGGTTCAAGACGGTGAGCTTCGCCGCACGTTGCTGGACGTGGGCCCAGCCATGGGCGGACACGAGTAGGAGGACAATGTTGGCGCCCAAGAGCACCCCAACCAAAATTGCCTCGAATGCGGTGGATATGTCAATGGACGAGCCACGGCAACTCATGGCCGATGCGCCGCCCAAGAGAGGCCGCGATGTGGCGTTGGACAGTCCACCGACCAAGCTGGTACGCCAACCGCGTGAGAAGCCAGACGCCCAGCAAGGCAGCAACCCATATCCCGTACCAGTCAACGGACTGGATTTGGGTGGCCTGTTCATACAGGTCTGAGAGGCCTGGAGGCATTGTCTCTGGGGGAGCGGAAGTGGGATCTGGCAGATGGGAGATGGGAGATGTTGGCTTATAAGCATTCTCACGGCGTCGGCCTTGGGCCACCGGTACAGCTAGATGCTACATACTTTCATTATTGATGGCCGGCCTCTGCGGCCCTCCTGTTGTAGTTGGAGATGGTGAGACAGTCAAGTATATGGCCGGCACGTGTAATTGCTCGTGTAACCACGAGGTCAAGTCCGAAAAACGCTGGGTCCTATTAGCTCTTTGAATCCGATGCCCAGGCATCAGAAATATGAGGTGCATCTAAGATAATTTATAGGAGCAATAAATGGGTATTCAGCGAGCTTCTGCTTCTAACAGGCAGGGTCAGCCTTTGACGACCTTTTTACCATGGTGGCTTATTATCGTTTGACTGTAGCTCTACATAATGCTGAAGTATCTGGGAATGGAACTCTGTTCAACTACTACGTATGTCGCTCTACAGTACAGAAGCACCACTAGAATTCGAATCAGCTGTGGAGGCAAGCCAGTAATTCTACAGACCCTTGTACGGAAATCTTCAGACACTCCACTACGAGCACATACATCAAATGCAAATAAGCTAAAGAAAAATAAACTAAAACTTCCTCGAAGTCCGTGCGGTTATGCGTCCAGGAATAGACAATTTGCTGTAACAAGAGTCCAAAGGCAAGACTCCAGCCGGCTGATCACACAGAATATTTCCACGGGATCCAATTCAGCGACACAGTATTAGGAGCGCCTGCTCCCATTAAACCTGTCCTGTGCGACGAGATGATTTTGCATGTGTGGCAACTAAGTATGAAGCAAACGTCCCCGAGCTTTTCACTGCGGCTCTATTCCTTCATTGACATATTACAGTAATATTAGGTACAATATGATCTTGGGACCGTGTGTAGAAAAGCACCAACCTATCATGAACGACATTTTATCATAATTCAATCACGTCCAGGCATGCAAACTTCCGCATTCCTACTACGCAAATGGTTCCAGTTTTTTTGTGAGCATTGAAGCCACACACCTAGGTCGAGTGACGATGCTCGACCTGGTCTTCCGGCATCGTGACATGACACGATGACTCCTGTCTGTTGGCACCAATGTTATCGAACGGGCTGACTTCAGTCCCCTGGTAATCCAACATAATCTGTAGCCACGGGGGTACTAGCAACTCGAGGTTTCGCACAGGGACAGGTGGAGATGGTTGTTGATGCAATCTGTGGCGGTGGAAGTCCGTCTTGGGCAATGCTGCGGAAACAGGCGCCAATGGATCCCAGGGAGGTATTAGCATTGGAGACTCAGTCGGGAGCGCCAAGCTGGCTTCCTCGACATGCTGCACATGAGGGAATCTCGGAAAGCTCGGTGGCACAGTTTCTAGTATAGAAGAGAGCCCGAGTGCATTGGACGAGGGAATGGGGTCCGGTGCATCAAAAGAGGGACTTGGATGGTAGAGCCCTTGGGAGCCGTCTCCCCAGAAGTGCATGATTCCGCTTCTAGTCGGATACTGAGGCTGTTCAGCCTCGCCTCCAAAGGACCACCCTGCCGCCTGCGGTGCAGGAATAGACGAATGGGAGAAACCGTCGGTCTCGGACGCGGTCAGATTGTCGGCTTGAGACCAGGTCCAACCCCAGAAAGATGCGGGCAACGTCTCCCACGAGTATGGTTCCGTAGCCCACGGCATCGAGTACCATGCATCTGTCGTATGATCCCCTGTCGAGTTGTCCTCGGGCATATACGAGTTCGGGAGTGCGATTGCGCTAAGCGGGGGTCCCCAGCCTGCATTTACGCCAGTTTCGGATGGGAGAGTGCTGTTCCCATCATCGATAACCTCATACCTTTACCCACGAGCAGTAACGTCTGCAGGGCACGTAATGGGTGAGCCACGTTCAGCACCACTGTCTCTTAGGATGGCGGCATCTGAAGCGCAGCCCATATCGGACACGCTCCATCGGTGTTCCTCCATGGATGCGCTGGCGTGAGCCTCATACGTTCTTAAGGTGTCACTAGAAGGCTGGTCTGCATAAATCCTGCTGACTGGCGACTTCTCTGTTCGTGTTTCGGTGGACATCATAGTACGATGGTCCACACTCTGTCGATCCGACTGAGGAACGCAAGTACTTCCGCTACTCTGGCACGCTTCGCAGGGCCAGATGCGAGAACACTAATAGCCCGTTATGTTAGTCAAACGCGCTGTCGACCAACAGTTTACCATGAGTCCCAGTTCCTTGTGACTTCGCGCACCTTGATTTTCCGACGAAAACATCTCTCACAAGCTCGGTGCGTCTGGCCCTGTTATCCCCCCATCAGCTAAATCTCACTCAGCAGACGGTGTTAGTTACACTGCATATTGAGCAGAGTGGAACATGAATATACCTTAGTAGGAAATGTGTTCGAGTAATATCGAAACGGCCGAACATAGGGAACGCAGTCGGTTCCGCTTTCATGGCACCTTTCACAGGGCCAGATGCGAGAACACTAATACGCAGTGTTAGTCTAAGACCCTGTCCACCGACATTCCATCATGGTATCAATTCTTGGATTTTGCGCACGTTTATCTTCAAACGATGACACCTCCCACAAGGATGTTCTAAGAAGCGCTGCTATCCTTTCATCAGATAATGCTCACTCAGCAGACAGTGGCTGTTGCAATGTAGTAGAAGAGAGTAAATTATGAAAATACCTCAGTAGGCACGTTTAAAGACGTTCGGTGCTCCACGACAGGCTTGGTGGCATTGGTGTCCTCTCGCTGCTGACGGACCGGGGCCGCAACCGAGACAAAGGCTTCCGCTGCGGTCGCAGCTGCAGTCGCAACTGCACCAAGCCGTTCGTTGTTCCCAAATGCGTCTTTTGACACCTGAGTATACAACTCCTCCAGCGGAGGCAGTGGCCGCTGCTCGTCCATGAGTGGAAAATGGCTTGGTTGGTCTGTGCACAGATGCAAAAAACGTTATGACTCGTGAGAAGACTAGCACACGCCCCAAAGACCCTGGTCTGGGTTTTTAAGTGTTCTCAATGAGTGGCTTGCCACTCACTTTATATAGCCCTGGTCTGATGGCAGGCTCAAATCACGCAGCAGCGACGTAGTATGATAGAATCACGCATGAAGAATGCTAGGCATATCAATAAACCCTCATAATGAATTATAGAAGTCCGCATCTTGTTCCTATCCAATGAGCCTGCTGTACAGTCGGCTAGGTAGCAGCCAAGATGATCTCAGTATGCTCAAAAAGAAAG